CTGCTCCGAACCCGCCAGGTTCCCGCCGCCGCGCAGTGAGCGAACCACTGAGCAGCTCCAAGAGCCCCGCCCGGTGATCACACCTCGATCAGAAACGGGTGACTGCTCTGTCGTCCCCTGGACCTCACTTCCTCCCCCTGAAGCCCCTCCACCCAGTCCCCAGCCCCCATTTGCCTGGGGCTGCCCATGCTCTTCCTTTTGAAGCATCTGGAAGGAACCGGAAGCATCTGGAAGGAACCAGAAGCATCTAGAAACATCTGGAAGGAGCCAGAAGCATCTGGAAGGAACCGGAAGCAGCCAGAGCAGGCGACCCCAGGCCGAGGGCAGTGGCGTTGTCTGCTCTCCCTGCAGAGCCCCGAGAGGCCCCGGTGTGCTGCGTGCGGCCTGTTTGTAAAAGGGACGAGGCGCCAGGGTGAGGGCAGCTGCCTCCCACGTTTCCTGGCCGGGAGGCCTATGGCCGCAGCCGTGTCCACATCGGGCTCTGCCGGGCGAGGTCACCAGTCAGATGCCTGGTGTGGCCCCGAGAGTCAATGACCTTCCTCCTCGTCCTTGGCCTCCAGACCGCCTGGTCAGGTCCAGTTGTGGGCACTGGCCGGAGCTGGCAGGAGTCGGAGCCCCGCGCTCAGCCGCTCTGGTGGCCACCTGGTGACTAGCCGCCAGGTGACCAAGGAGAAGCCCTCTGGCCACTTGCCGGGCTTCAGGCGAGGTCCGCAGCCCCGCCTTTGGCGACCTGTCCGGCGATGTCCGGTGGTGGCTGCCCCTCCAGGCCGGTCCCTGGGTGGGAGGTCTGGTGCTGTCCTTCCAGCGGAGCACGGGGCTGAGGCCTCCGCCCTCTGACCTGCAGCTGCTCCTCCGCAGTCGCCGGCCCCGCCTGCCGGGGGTGCCCTGAGCACGATGCCCAGCATCGGGCGGGCCCTCCCAGAGGTCAGGGGCGGCTCCTGCTGTAGACGAGCCTGCTTACAGGTGACCGGACAGACCAGAGGTGCCGGTCGTGGCCACTGGGAGTCGGTCGGAGGTGGTCCTAGGGCTGCTCTCAGGAAATCACGGGACCGGGGACCGCAGGCAGGACCCGACTCCCGTGCAGCCCGGAGACCCTCCATGGCCCAGAGCCCGTCCACTTGGGGGAGGAGCAGAGGCGGAGAGAAATCCAGAAGCTCTGGACCCCTGTTCCGGGAGCTGGCTCAGCCACGGAGCCACCCCGTCCCATCTGCATATCCAAACGTCGCTAATGAGGGAAGCCCGGTCAGGAGGCCTTTGCCTGAGTCCTGGCTCTGCCTCCTGCTGGCCGCCACATGGACAAGCCACGTGGCTTCTTGTGGCTCCGTCTCCCGGAACAAGGGGTGTGGTTTGTGGGGCCACGGGCCCTTCCCAGCCCCAGCGTCCCGCCTGCCTCCTCCCCCCGCGGGAACATGGCAAAGGCGTGGTAAGTGCGTGGCGGGCCCTGGGAGCCTGGCCAGCTCTCCGGTCAAGGAACCGCCAGCAAGGAACTGTTGTTGGCTGTGAGCGCGGACGGCACACAGCGGCCTCCTGCTCCCGGCCTTGGCGTGAGCACCCCACTGTGCGTGCGCTCGCTGCCTCCTGTGCTCCGTGTAACTATCTGGAGAGCCTGCGTGGGGAGACCGCCAGGCCGTCCGTGCGCCTCCGTCCCACCGAACGCCCTTCGCAGCCAGTCCTCCGGTGATTTCTACACAGGCCTTTCCGGCCCCGGGTGTGGAATAGCGGCCCCTGCGCCAGCTCCCAGGAAGGTCCGTCCTGTGTGAACGCCCTTTGTGAGCGTGAAACACTTAAAGCGTCTTAACTGCACCTTCACGTTGTAGCCACTGAAGAACTGCTGCTGCGTAACGAGAGGGGACTAGCTACACTCGCCAGCTTTTAGGACTTCCTCCGACTGCTGCATGCGTGACAGTTGCAGGTACGTGTGTTCGTCATCCGCCAGAGGCGGGGACATTCCCATCTCCCCCAGGCGGCACTGTTAGCAGCAGGTGTCCCACCGGGAGGTGGCGTGTGGGCGAGCTTCCCTCCGCCGAGCCGGCCAGTCCACACGCCCCGAGTCCTGGGAGCCATGGAGGAGCTGCCTCACCCCCACCCAGAAGAGCGCCGGGAGTGGGGGCACGTGGCCCGCACCTCCAGACCCAGTGGTGGCGTCATGGCCTTTTGCTGTCGGCCTGGAACGCCGCCCAGCAGGGGTGCGAAGAGAGACTGCGTCAGTCAGCGTGATGAACCTGAGCGCACGCACCAGCTGGAGAGACAATGCCGCCGCCCAGGGACCATGAGACAGCGCGTGCCGCAGGGAAGACGGCCGGGAACCTGGAGGACTGACCGGGGCACCGCTCCCCTGAGAACAACCCCGGAAGCTGCAGGCAGCCGAGGGGCTGTTCTGGGGCAGGCGCCTTGGCAGGGCCTGCTTATCAGGTGTGGAAAGGACCCCTCGTCCTCTACACCCAGTTCCCACGGCACAACCTTAACCCGCGCGACCCTGCGAGTGGCTGACTGGGACAAGTGGACACTTTGCTTCCACGAGGTCGGCCTGATGGGGGGATGGGCAGGGGGTGCCTTTCACTCTGACTTCCCTGCCCGGCCCCTCCCCAGCCTTCAGCCAGCAAGCAATGGGAAGAGGGAGAGGACCACACACACCTGTCTGTCCCCCCCCCCCCCCAGGATTCTTTAAAGCCCTTCCCTCAAAGGCTTAGCAAACGGTAATTCCTGAGGAGACAACTCGGTGGGCTTCTGCGAAGCTCCAGGATGGCCTCTGGACGGTCCTGGTGGAGATGTGGACTCGACGGGAGCGAGCTGAGTGCTCGGGAAGCCACGGCGCTGGCTTTGCGCGGAG